ATTGCAAAAAAAAACAGTTACGGAAAAAAAATTTAAATAGAATTGAGAAATTTGAAAAAAAAAAAAATTTAAATATTATTAAAAAAGTTTAACAGTTTGAAGAATTAAAAAAATTAAAAACAAAATGTGAAAAAGGAAAAATAATGTCTTTGGAAATATTGAAAAAATAAATGCGGAATAAAATTTTAAATAACAAAATTAAACAGACATAAAAAATTAAATTTTTGAAATTTGAAAAAAAAAAATAAAAATATTTGCGGATTAATATAAATCTAAAAAAAATTAAATTAAAAAAAAAAAACCAAAAAATTTAGATTAAAAACATTAAAAAATATTTATTTATAAAAAAAAAAATTTAAATAAAAAAATCTGGAAAAAAACCAAAACAAAACCTAAAATTTTGCAAAAAATTTAAGCAATAAATGCCGTAATGTCTTCACAAAAAATCTGGTATTCAAGTATTCGAGCAACAGGAAGTCTGCGGAAAGTGTTAATGCTTTTGCTGCATGCCACACTAGATTATTTAAATTTAATATATATATATATATATTTAATATATATATATATATATATATGTATGTATCTATTATGCATTTGTTAAGTCGATAATGTATTAGAAATAAACTATTTTTGCATTTATTTTTTTCGCTTTTTTTTTCTTCATTTTCTATTGCTTATGACGCGCACCGTTATTGGAGCGTAACGAAATCGCAGAATATACAGCAGCAAGCAACACTATCGATGTTGCACCATTAAAATCCGAACTAATATAGAGACTATTTATACAATATATGAGTGCCCAGTACATGCCCTGTAGGAAAATTAGTAGGAAAATTGAATGCGTTTGGAATTTTGAGCTCATTCATTCAGAAAACTTTCCGATATAGTTTTCTGAATGAATGAGCTCAAAGCTCGGGTTAAATGCAAAATGCGACCGAGAAACGGAAACCTTCCGGCGTGTAGAGGTCACCTTACCTAGTAAGCAATACCAGAATGAACAGAAGGCGGATCCATCGGCAACAATTAATATATCCATATCTAGTGTTGGGTCTTCTAAATGTGAGGCAACCGTTAGAATAATGAATATAGATGGTAATAAAGGAGAAGGACAACGCGAACTAGTAGCGAAGTTGTGCTCATCGACGGCCTCAAATTTTGTTTAAAACAGTGAACCATAGAGGAGCACTTAAGGTCTTGGATCTTTTCCAATGTAGGACGTACTACTAACCTAATATGTGGGGGAGCGTAGATAGTATACAGACTAAAATGAGAACTAACCATTCTTATCGGATATATTAACGGGTCATCTACCTCTGAAATATCATCTCCATTAGCTAGGTAAAGTGGAAAAAGTTCTATGCAGGAAGGCTGGAGCATTACCTCTGCGTATGTTCGGCCTTCAGTCGATTGGGACGTCACATCTCCCTGGGAGGGAGTCCCAGCTTCGATCTCACGGTGGTGGCCGCGCATGGGTCGAATAAAATAAAACGCCGAATACAAGAGGGAATACATTAAGCCTGCGTTCTGACCTTCAACCTCCGTCTTTCAATCAACCAACCAAAATTTTTCTAAAATTTTAGACTTTTAAAATTTTTCAAACTCTAAAATTTTATTTATTTTTTTTTCTTAACTTCTTTTTCTACATTTTTCCTACCCGTCTCTTATGAAAGATATATGATCAGGTAAAGACTTATAATACGTTTTTCTTTATTGTATTTATTTTTGCTTAATTTTTTTTTGGCGTCGCGCCGCCAGCTATGTGGAGCAATTAAAACTAGAAATACATACATATATATATAAATATATGTGTATATGGATAATTCAAAAAGGAAAAGAAAGCAAATAAATAAATAAACAAACCGCAAACAATTGCAAATATGCACATACAAACACACATATGTATGTATATATGTATATATGTATGTGTATGCAAAGAAACTGTTAAGCAGCAGCTGCTGAGCACGCGCTAACTGACCATCGAACACCGGCAGGCAGTCACTTTTGCGGTGCTACAACAATAGCAGAGAGGTGGCAAAAGCAACAGCAACAGCAACAGCACCAGCAACAGCAACTTGTTGCAAGTTATGACAGCGTTGCAATGTGGCGCTGTGTGCAAGAAAAAATAAAAAAAGCAATGCATGCATACAACGGTGTTTAAATATTATATATTTATTATATTTAATTATACATATAGATAATGTTTGCATGTTTGTATGGGAGTCTGTAGGTGTGTATGTACATATATATGTACGGTATTTTACTGCTTATTTGGTTAGCGGGTGTTTCGTATCGCAAATTGGCCAACTGATTGACTAACCGACTACTTTTCCCCAGCTGCTGCTGTTGTTGTTGTTGTTGTTATTGTTTCAATATTGTATCGACCCATTTGGCATAGCAAATCCTCTAAGGTGTGCAAAGTCTCGCTTGAAACTATAAAAACGTTAATTAAAGGTGTTGTACTTTGCGTAAAGACTGCCGCGGGTCTATGGTCGATGGGCTAATATTACGGTTTATTTTGCTTGCGGAAAAGATATTGCGAAAATTCAAATGTTTGTTATGTGTTGCGTGGATGAGAAGAAACGGTGACTGAATGAGCGTAGAGTGTGTGCTACAACCACTGAGTGATATTTATGTATATGTGGGCTCAATAAGAAAATTATACCAGGTGGCGCTGAGCGCGGGATTTTTGCCAAAGCTTCTTTTATGCCCAAATTTTGAACATTTTGGAGCAACTGTTTTTACTTTTATTTTTTGAACTTTTTGGTCAACTAACAAAGACCGGCATAATTTGAAGACAATTTGGAACTTGTTTGGCACCAAGTAATGATTGCAAAAGGGTGATATTCCGATTTTCAGTATTTCAAAATTTTTTCGAAATTTGTTTGGTAGTAGATTTTGTATTTTATTTTGGACTATTTAGGGATTGTTTTTGACACATCCCTTCAGGAATAATTCGGTACAATTTTTTTTTCGATATTTTCAAAACTTGTCCGGTATTAATTTGTTAAAATTTTCGAAATTTTTGAGTGTCATTATTGGCAAGATTCAGCGACGCTTTGCAAGAAGTTAGGAACTATTTTTTAAACTTTTCGCAACTCCTTTTAAGATATTTAAACTAATTTGATGACAATTCGGAAAAATATTTTGTATAGTTTTTATTTTGAAAATTCGAAAATTTATTCCAAACTACTACAGAAGAAGTTACGAAAGCAGATCCTAAGCTGGAAATTAATTTAAAATCATTTCCGTACATTTTCAACATCGTGACTATTTTGAGCCCAGTTCGAGACTTCAGATCACCCGAGTACTAACTCGAAGCAATGTATGGAGAGTGTCTTTGGAGGACTTCGAAGTTAATACATCTCAACTATCTCGCGCACAGTTCGTGGTTGTGTAAGTCACTTGTTTGAAACACCAGAGGAGTAGTGCATGTTTATTTGGAGTTCTTTTCGGAAATCATACGAAATCAGACGGTAAAGACGGTTGCGAAAATGTTTCGGTTTTGGTTTGATAGTGATTATGGAATCTTTTACTATCCGTAAGGGTTTTAAGGAGCAAATAACTACAGAAAAAATTGTAAGCAATCACCAAACTAGCTCTGAACTACTCGAAAATTGGTACCTGACGACACATACGACTCATTATGAACTCGACTGCAGTAGGCGGAACCCAAAAACGAGAACTTTTTGTGCACGTCAGCTCCTGTGCCGGACGCCTTCGAATATCACAATAAAACTACTTACACTGTAGTCACTCAGTCGTGGAATACATGAAAGTATGCTTGTTGTATATATGTATATATGTATGAATATGATTTGTAACCGCTGAACTGAATCGCGGCCGAGCTTCTCCTCCAATTTTCGGTGTGTATCCTTGAGGTTCATCCTTGGCCGCTTCCGAATCACCGTTGGCGTTCTATGAGGAACTTTTGTCTTCATTTCAAAAATATACTCGGAGCATAGAAAATGTCTTTCCGAGGAGGAGCGATCGCAATTCGAAAAATGAATTTTCTATTATTTTGGATCTTTCTCAGTGCAGTACTCGAACCCTGGCCTTCCGATTGGTAGTTTGTACCGCTCACCACTCAACTATGTTTACCGATATGCAAATGTAAATTAATATCACTTTACATACATACATCCAATCGCTGATAAACTCATATTTCCTGCTCGCTCATGTAATACGCAGACACTAAAACCGGGTTAAAACCGGCTGACTTCAATTTTAACTCCAATTTTCTTATTTAACACAGTTGCAAGTGACATTTGAGATCGCGTTGAGTTGTGATTATGCAAGTTTGATTCATTTGTGCGAGATATGTATGTATGTAGGTATGTATGTAGGCAAATTAAAGACACTCTAAACCAAATTGTCTTGCTCACCGATATCTTTGATTTGCGAGCATTGTCAATAGTGGACCCCTGGACCGAAATCGATTTCTTAGAACCAGCTAAACGCCTCTTTAGTTTCTAAAGAGATTAAGTGGCCGAGCGGCTCGTTCTGTTTGTTCTGTGCATCTTGTTGTTTTTCTGAACCAATGAGGAGACCTACAGTTTGTGCGGAGTCGCCTCCGAATGACTGTTGGATATTTGACAGGAGATTTTCGGTTTGGGTCAGAAATACGCTCGGAGGTATTGGCATTTCCTGCCGTAGGTCGCGTGAATTTAGAATTTTTCTTTTATAATTTTGGAAGCTAGTCCAATCAGAGCCCGGTTATGCCCTTTCGTTATATCGAATCGGTTGGAGCACGCCTATATCTATAACCTCAGGTTAGCTTCTCTCTACACTTTCCAGCTCGATCGGCGCGGTTGTAGACCGGGTGTCAGCATAAAGTTCTCTGTACCGTAGCGCCCGGTAGTGTGCTGCTACGCACTTTCACACTTTCACCACTTGACAAAAATACTTCGAAATACAATTTTTTTTTTCAAAATCCAAGCAACTCGCTATAAGTTTTTGAAAGATTTTAAAAATATTTTTCATATCACTTGAAAATTTCTTTGTAAAATGAATATAAATTAAACGTTTCTTCTATTCGAAAAAAAATTTAATAAAAAAATTTTTGGCTCTCCTCTAAATTTTCATTAAAATTTGTTTTCTTTTTTTTTTTAAAATTGAATTGTTGTTAAAAACCGTTAAAACCTTTGTGCTTGCGAAACAGCCAAGAAAAATGGCATTACAAAATCTACTACGTGGATGTGCACTGAGACTCAGTCAAGTCGGCGCTGCCGCACCGGCCACCATACTCCAAGCAACGCGCTTTCAATCCTCGTCCAGTGGTTTCAGCGGTTGCATTCTACCCAAATGGAAGAAACCGCCATCCAAACCGCGTCTCGGTCGCAAATGTCTTCCATACAAAGTGCCCGTATGTAGTGAGGAAGTGCTGCAGAAGCGCAGGAAGACAAGACCCTGTCAGCTGAAGCGGAACTTGGAAGAAATCGATCCCGAATGTTGTCCGAATCCATGTTTTGATGCACATCCGCGTTTCGATGACCTGCACTATGCGCCGTCCGAAAAGAATCGTCCGTATCAACAAACCTGGTGTGAGTTTGGTAATCTGCGCATTGTGGAACGGCCACGCTGCTGCTACGAGGAGTTCGATATACCCATGCCGAAGCGGCGTAAACGTGGTAAAACTGGCCCACATGTTGATATGTGCGCTATTGCAAGACAATGCCCGAATGTGTCGCCCAGATGTTCGAAAATCGTTTGGCCCGGCTGTCAGACGCGGAAATGTGAATTCTCCTGCAAGTACTATCCACCGCCAAAGGATTGCCTCAAAGTGTGCACACCCTATCCCAGCTTTACGGAGTGCGATAGGGATCTGCCTAAACCGTTGCATCCCATCGAGTGTGATTGCTTGAAAATCATTGGTTTTTGCCCGATTTGAAAATGAGACTTTTGAACTCGAAGAACTTTGTAGTTTAAAGTAAAGAATCTTATTTCTTAATCAATTAAATTCTTTTTGTGATTTGTAAATAATTTTGAAATATTTTTTTAGTTTCTGGAAAAAGTAGAATTTTTTATTCGAATTTAGTTCTGAATTTTGGTATTTTAACTTTATATGTATTCACTTCCACAGTAAAATAAACTTTTTTTCAAAAACACAATTTTTAAAATGAAATTATCGAGTGCTCTCACGAGATCTTGGATGATATCCTTTACGGGTGTTTCAATTTGCAGCCGCTAAAAAGACTGCTTGTTTTAGCGACGTCTTTCTAAGAGAGTCCATTAAGGCCTGATGTACGCCTTTAATGTGCTGAGGTATAGGTCCAAGTGAGGACCCGCCGGGTTGTCGACCACATAGTGCCAAACTCGAGAAACAGATGTCAATCTTCACCCATTGATCCTGGTCGGCGACCGAAGAAGTGTAGTTGGCGTCTATAACTACTACTTGTAGCCACTAAGTGTCTTACTGCTGTCGGCTCGGTGCTGTCCTGCTGAGGTTTTTAATTGCTGGGTAAAACGGTTCTTTTAGAGACCCGATCTGATAGTCATTTAATGACTCCGACTGCTTCTTTTTAAGCAACTAACCTTCTGAGAATGAAGACTGTCCTGCTATACTGGCTCGTCCTCACTTCCGCATTTGATGTTCTTATACCCCTTGAGATGTTACATAAATTAAGGCTCCAGATGAGGAGCCGCTGGGTTACTGAGCGCATACAAACCCCCATAATACCATGTAAATCTCTACTCATTTACCCTGCATGATGACCGATGTAGAGCTCCTTGTATATTGTCTCCGGTAAAGTCGCTGAAGGGTTTTGCTACTCCGACAGTCGAAACGCTCCTGTCCTGCTTAGATATCCAGAGCCGCGTTTCTATTGTTTCCTGGGCAGAACGGTTTCATTTTCGAGATCCGTCCGGTACTCAGTCTTGGTTCGCCGAGTATGCCGGAAGGCTACGAACAACCGAAGTACGTAAACATGCTGACTTCGCTTGGGCGTAAAGTTCGGTATGAGCTTTTAATAACAGGCCGGTGACCGTCTCAGCACGAGTACCTCCACAATGAGTATCCTAACACTTACCAAAAGCAGGAAGTAGCCGTAAGACCAAAGATCTGGTTTTCAATTTGCGTTTAATAGATTTGGCAAGGTTGATCTTGCGAAGAAAAGCCACGACTATAAGTCGCCGCTCCTCTATATAGAACTTTCGTGCATCAGCCAAAAGTAAGAGCGGCTCGGAACGTATGCATATCTAGAAAGCTTGAGATAATTGAACTTTCTTGTGTCGGTGCCACATAGAATAGTATTTTGCACTCCGTCAAAGTTAAGCAACCTTCGCCCATGATCCTTAAAACGTTTGAAGGTGTCGTCAACACAAGAGCAGGCCTGTCTACCGAGACTTTTTGTCATATTTTTTTTCTTTAGAAATAGAATTTTTGTGCTGTGAGTGCCAAATCTTTGTACGGCTTATAGGTGGCTCACTTTCAAACGGGTTTTTGTTAGCTACACAAAGGATACCTGGTCTCAGACCGGAAGTCGCGCGCTGCCAGAGCCATAAAATAATCGTTTCTGACTACTATAAGGTGCATGAAAGTCAAAAGCTTTCTTTACTTGTATGTACTTCTGTGTATGGTCTTCTAGGTCCCTAGAAGATATTCAAAGATCAGCTCCTAATGTGAAAAAGAAACGTGAAAAATTAAATGAAAACAAAATTAAATAAAATTAAAATTTGTTTCTTTGTCTTCATTTTCATTCAAATTCTTTTCCGAGTATAATCCACATTAAAGTCCAATGATCTGCACAGAAGAGTTATTCTAAAGGTTATTAACTCATTAAATTTGCTTGTTTCAACCCACACACACCAACCACAAAACATTCACTCGCCTCTCTAAAACCATCCATCAACAGCCTCTCTAAGTGAACGTGACTTACCGTCAGCTAACGACGCGCGCTCTAAGCATAATCTCTAGCAGCCGATTTTCTCAATAAACACCCAAAAGAAACACAAACAATCAGAGCGCAATGAACTTCACCCACTTCCCATTACCCTTAAAAATGAGTGAGAGTAAGTGTGTGAGAGAGAGAGCGCACCTACAGCATTTAACCGTGGCACTAAATCTAACTGTAATTATTGTAGTTTGTTGAGGTCCTTAACCTGGCATCTTCTAAATCTGGGTCATCTACTATTAAGTACATGGCAAAGAGAGAGAGAGAAAGAAATGTAAGGGAAAAAATCTTTCAAATCTGTCGTAAGCCATAATTGCCAAAAGAAACTAATTGGTGAGTGCCACGTAACACGTGACAAATGCGTCAAAGTCAAGTCAATCGATAAGCGCACGATGTGCCGCGACTACGAGTGGAATGGATGTAGCGGTAAATGTGTCATTCTCGGCGGTGGTGAGCAGTGAAGTAGCGTTCGGAAGTTTTGAGGGTGTCTGTAGGAATAGTTTGCCTCAATGGGAAAGTATTGTTGTTAGACGAGTTTTAGAAAGTGGATGCGCTGAAATATTATTTATAGATCAATTTTAGTGATTTGAGGATTTTTAAGCTTATGCTTCAATCAACGCTTTAAGAAGTTTAAGTTTTGTATGAGATTCTTTTGATGTTAAAACAGACGATAATTCGCAAGCTGGCAAAGTTCAAGTTTCCAAATTATTCAGTTTAGGTTTTCACCCCACTGTCCTGTACCGCAACAGCTTACCTATCTTATAGACTGTCAAGAGTTGCTTTGTATAATGTCTCATCCAGTACTTTTGTAGCAACATCGGGCATATCTCAAAGCAGCGTTTAGAGCCTCTTACTGTATACTTACTTTATTCATTACATCCTTCGATGTAGTTAGTGCCGAGGCATGGAGGATGACAACAACTGATTAGTCGGCGTTAGAAATTTTCGAATAGAAGGTTTTGCCTAAAACTTATGGTCCTCTGCGCCTTATACAAAGCAAGTACTACAGGCGGTATTGCCATAATTCAGCTAGGCTATGCTGGTCAGGTCATGTGCTTCGAATGAATGAAAGAACTCCAGCTCTTAAAATATTCTATGCAGTATCCACTGGTGGACGAAGAAGACCTCGAAAGGATTAGGTAGGTAGGTATATGGATTATCTTCGTATTGTTCTCAACTGGCACTAAACGGGAAGGAACGAATGGCATGCTATTTTTGATTTGCCTAAAATCGCGTAAGAGATGCTTACGTCTATGAGGAGGAAGAATACCTGTCGCAAGAGATGACTAAAATGTAATAGTTTCTGCAACAGTCGAGTCTTTATACTGGCACGATCTGGGTTTTTTTTATTCGGCTAAGTAGTTCCAGTGCCCAGAACGGGTTTAAACTCAATGTGAGAGAAAAACTATGCAATACTTAGTGTAGAAAAAAATGCAGGTCCCCCTGAAAGGGCTACAAATCGTGCGAAACTCGCAGGACTTTTTAGATAGAAACTTGAAGAAGTTTGAAAAATTTAAGATCGGAACTCAGAAATGTTTCTGTAATTGTGTTTTAAGGTTTTTATAAAAGGTTTTGCTACTTAGACTTTTAAAAAACATTCTTCAAATGTTTTTCTTTCTCATAAAATCTACTGAAATTAAATATAAAAATAAAAAAAATATTATAAAAATATCAATAAACTAATTGAGATAAATATTAGGTTGTCAAATATCTCCCTTCCGCTTTTTTGTCTTTTGAATTTCGCGGTTATGTACAAAGCGCTACAGAGCTCGTATCTGGCAGCACTATACATAATTTGAAAGGTCTTGACATAACCTACAAAACAACGCTATGCATGATTAGTTTGGATATTGCATTCAACAGTTATAGACGTGTAAACATGGAGTTCACTAACGCCGAAACTCGCGAAATTTTAAAGTTTTCCTTCGTTAAAGGCAAATCCGCTAGAGAAACGTTCCGTGAGACTAATGGTGTTTCGGGGGATGGCACTCTATCACTTCGAACCGCGTAGGAATGGTTTTGACGATTCAGAGACGGACGACACCATGGATAAACCAGCCGGCGGAAGACCTTTGACGACAAATACCGATCAAATCATGGAATACATCAAGTTAGACCGGCATATGGCATCTCGTGACATCGCCCAGTAGATGAGAGTTAGTCACCAAACCATTTTGAACCATCTGCAGAAGGCTGGATACAAAAAAAAAGTTTGATGTTTGGGTGCCGCATAATTTCACGCAAAAAACCCTTCTGGACAGAATCAACGCCTGCGATATGCTGCTGAAACGGAACGAACTCGACCCATTCTTGAAGCGAATGGTGACTGGCGACGAAAAATGGATCACATACGACAATATCAAGCGAAAACGGTCGTGGTCGAAGGCCGGTGAATCGTCCCAAGTAGTGGCCAAGCCGGGATTGACGGCCAGAAAGGTTTTGCTGTGTGTTTGGTGGGATTGGAAGGGAATCATCTACTATGAGCTGCTCCCATATGGCCAGACGCTTAATTCTACCATCTACTGCGAACAACTGGACCGCTTGAAGCAGGCGATCGACCAGAAGCGTTCAGAATTGGCCAACAGGAAGGGTGTGGTGTTCCACCAGGCCAATGCCAGACCACACACTTCGTTGATGACTCGCCAGAAGCTACGGGAGCTCGGATGGGAGGTTTTATCGCATCCACCATTTAGCCCGGAGTAGCGCCAAGTGATTACCAACTGTTCCTGTCCATGGCGAATGCCCTTGGTGGTGTAAAGTTGAACTCAAAAGAGGCTTGTGAAAAGTGGCTGTCCGAATTCTTCGCAAATAAGGAGGGGGGCTTCTACGAGGAAGGTATTATTGTATGAAGTTGCCGTCTAGATGGAAACAGATCATCGAACAAAACGGCGCATATTTTAACTATTATATTAAATTAAATTAAAAGTAAAAGAGACCTAAATAAATGAAAATTATATATTTTTTTTAAAGGATTTCATAGAATTTTTTAAAAGTAACTTGTAGGGGCTTGAAAAAATTAGTTTTAAGCCTGAGACAGACATTATTGTTGTTGTTTCATAAGGTTTTTATAAGGTAATTCTCTCACCCAGA